GAGCTACCCTAAAGTGATCTGATGTTGTACAGAACTCACTACTGAGTTAAGCAAGGTTAGATCATGCAGAGGTAGTACATGTTCTTGAATGTCGGCTACCTTAAAGCATGCTTAAAGTGATCTGATGTTGTACAGAAATCACTGCTGATTTAAGCATGATTAGATCATACAGAGGTAGTACATGATCTTGAATGTGGGCTATCTTAATGTAAAGTGATCTGATGTTGTACAGAACTCACTGCTGAGTTAAACACGGTTAGACATGCAGAGGTAGTACATGTTCTTGAATGTGAGCTATCTTACTGTAAAGTGATCTGATGTTGTACAGAACTCACTGATGAGTTTAGTCTCTCCTGTGCCCCTCTCTCAGTTGACTCCACTGACGGATACATTGTAGCTTCTACTGGGGATTTAACTTGCGTTGTTATTAAGTATGCCGACCAAGACGGGGGGTGGGTCGTTACCTCTAATCCATATAACACCAAAAATAGACAAGTTTCCCCTCCTGTAACAAACCATATGTAGATATTTCCCCACACTGAGAAGGGGAAGGGGGGCACCTCCCCCCACCAAAAACCCCCACAATTTTAGAAAACAATGCAAATTCGGGCAAATGCTAGGGAAAACGAACAAAATTCGGGCGGATTTATCCGAAAATAGATCTAATTTAGGTTATTTCATTACAATTTTTCATGAAAATTTGGGCAAACTTTCAACTGCCCCCTAGGAAAGCGGCAGCGCTGTACTGCTATGCCTTCACACATCCCATCCGCCAAAATCACAACATTTTGCTTTGTATTCACTTTATTATACTACAAGGATCTTAAACACATTCTGTACATACATTTTAAATTGATAACATTATATCCTGAGGCTGAGCGTTTTCACATTTGGATAGAATGTCACGTCAAAATTTCTACAAGTTTGCATATGATTACAGATTTTAAATTAATCAGATCTTTATAAATGTTCATTGATTGCTGTTTATATTAATTACTTATTCTATATACACTCATGTTTTTTCTTCTACTGGTGAGTACGTGCATACTTGCTTACTTATTTACTTCATTTTATTTATTTATTCAGTCACAGATTATTATAGATCATACGTATCACATGATCGTATGATCTATGATCTGTGGTTCAGTGTTGGCGTAATTACGAATACTTCATGTTGATACAATATTTGGAGAATATAGGCGAGGGGTTGTTGCATGCATGTATTTCTAGTAGATTGAGTAAACGGCAGGGTTCAATTAGCTTCAAACTTATAGAGATTTTGGGCTTTCATTGATCTAATCCTTCACAATATTCCTTGGCTGTTCATGGCACTCAAATAAATCGAAAAGTTGACAAAAACAAATCAGTAAAAACAACATTGCCACTCGATTTTGCGGTTTTAAAGCTCGTTCTGCGCCCGCGTACAATCTTTCACTAGTCAGCGACGCTGTTTTATAAGGGGAATTTCTCGAGTTACACGAAGGTTTTTTGCAACTTAGTTGCACCTTACTCATTGTTTTCATCGGTAACCTATATCCTCAAATTTTGACCACAAATTTTAAATTTAGTAAGTTTTATATATTTCAAATTTTAAAGAATTCTTTACAGTGGAAATCTTGTTATAAAATTTTCGGTTTTAAAAAAATCACACTGTAAAGAACTTTATTAAATTTTCTTAATAGTTGCAGAACAACATCTCTATTGATATATGAAATAAAAAAGATAGGTCACCAGATTCATTTTTCAGATAAAGACAATTTTGTAGCTAAAATAAGCCGGTTTTATAGCCGCATGGCAACAGCGACATTGTCAAAACTGAGTTCTAAATATTCCAACGATGTTAGATATTGCCTAATAGGCCTGTACTGCAGAGATGTTGGGCAAATAGGGACAACTGTAGGGAGCCACCTTAATTGGTTTCTTTTTTGCTTGGAAATACTTCTTCTTAAACAACCTGTAATTTTTTCTGGTGAAGACGAACGCAATACCTATGTAGACACCAGTCATCTTCATGTCATGATCAAAACGCATGTTTGCAAATAAAAGAAGAGACAGGCTTATGGCTGTAGTGGTTGCCAACTTAAGCAATAGGACAAAGCTATTGCGTTTCTTAACAATATTTGATTTCTGTGCAATGCTACTGCTTGCTTTCAGTTTTTGGCGAATTCGATAAGCAGTGAAGGAAAACGTTACACAAATGTACAAGGCAAAACAACCCGGAAGACCATATTGTTCCATGACAGCTAACCAAAGAGGACGTTCATTACCCATGGCCATGACACATCTAGTAATATCTAGATGAAATCTTAAAACATGTTTCTTCACAAGCACAATGTAAACAATAGTTATGATGACAGGAACACCCCAGCTAAAGACACTATACTTCAAGAACGTTTTCCACTTGTTTTCATCAGATTTCACTAGAGTATTGCTACAAAACGTTTTTCTTAAGTGAAAGATATTAACAGCAGCGTTCATAAGTATGCTATACAAAATAAACCTCTGTGTTATTGCTATCCTGGCACATGGTATCTTGAACACTTGACCTATACGTTCATACAGCGAAACATGTACTGCAATGTAAGTCTGTAACAACAAAACGGCGAAACCTAAACTCATTAAATTCAAACTAGGAAGAGTGCGCAGTTCAGGAAACATGCAATAAACTATCAACAACAATAGCAAACAAATTATAGAAAGCGCTAAAGCGCATAATGATGCTATTCCAGCTGGGCTATGGTATGCGTAATAAAACTTTATAAATTTTTCTTTACATATTATAAATTTACCTTTATTAAACACACCATAATCGTACTTTGCTATCACCTGATCTGTTGGCAAAATGAGAACGCTAAAATCCTTACGAACAGTATAAAACGTTTGGCGGATCATATGGACGTCTATTGGTAGATTGCGACTTTTATAAAACATTGACGCCTTTACCAATTTATTGCGTACTTTCCAAATTTTTCTCACGTAGTTATCAGTGGAGTTACAAATCTTTATGCTATCATTCAGAACTCGATACTCAGTATAATCGTACACCTTGTTCTTATAAAGTATTGAAAAGTCAGTCCGAACTTTGTATTCATCATCGTATTTTATGTTGATGATCGAATCGTTGCACATTAATAGATCTTCCTGTGTATACTCTGATGATGTGGATCTTAACTTTTCTTTGCATATATTAGGTCTACCGTCTATTACCGCATAGTCATTCCTTTTGAGATATTGACCGTTTTTTGCCGAATAGACAGTGAACTGCTTGGTCACAGTATAGAATTCATATAATTTATCAGCAAATATATGGGCATAGCATGTATACTTGTCTTTAAACTTCTCCCACGAATTTCGAGTTTTCCAAATAGCCTGAACTCTTGAATCATTGGAAGAACATATTTCAAGACCCTCGTTTCCCAATCGGTATTCGCGATAATCGTACATCTTGTTGTTGTAAAACAGCGAAAAGTTTTGCAATACATTGTATTGATAACCGTATTTGATTTTAACCAAATCATCATTGCAGGACAGACTAAGTTTTGCCGAACAAATTGCAAAATGTCCAAAAATCACTCCGTAATCTTGCCTTGTGAAATGTTGCTCAGTAGGATGAAAGAAAACAGTAAAGTTTTTGAATAATGTGTAATGCTCAAAGTAAAAACCGTCCACGGATACATTACAATGTGTGAAAACCGTCATTTTCTTTTCCCGAGCAATGAAATTCTGCCATTTTTGTTGAATGAAAGGGTCAGGGGCATAACAAACTTGTAGACCATCGTCCGTTACTCTGTACTCGTTATAACGGTACATTCGACTTTGATACATCGTTGAGAAGTTCTTCCATACTTTGTATTTATCTTCATACTTTATAGTAAAGGTAAACTGATTGGCGCATTCTGTCGGACTTTCCAAGATCGATCGCATCAATTTCACGTCTGTTCCGGATATGTTGAGTTGTGAGTGAAGCGAAGTCATTCTGGTGAAAAATTTGATTTTCCAATGATGATAAGTTTTTACTGGCATTGTTTTGCAATTTTGTCTCACTTGAATGGAAGATGGTAGTCGATTCTTTGCTTGGAACTTTTACCCCGGGCGGCGACGACAGTTCTGGGCTCTTCCGTATTTTGTCACTTCGGATTGTTTTCATCACAGTTCCTAAAAAAATTAATGTGCTTAACAGTTACTCCTTCTGAAACGAATTACGAATATTCTCACATTTTCAGAATTTACCTTTTCTTGCCATCTTTGAAAGATCAGTTTCTTTCTTCGTATCCTTGCCGTCAACTTGTTTAGCATTTTCTGTCAAGATAGGGACGCCAATGTCTTGTTCGAGAAAATCTTCATCATTCAAGGGTTTGCTGTTGAAGTTTTCCCTTAATTTGTTCGGTTCTGTTTTATCTTCCCGCCTGTCATACTCTGAACCACCACCATGATAAAAACAGGCGAAAATCAGACAGAAGGAAAAGAAAACTACTCGATGCAAGAGTCGAAAACTAAAGCCACGAATCATGTTGCAACTACAAGTGTTGTTAGGCAACTGGGTGTAGTTTCGGCAAAACACAAAGTTTAAAACGTTTATTATGGTCTGGGGATTTGTGATAATGTAAGCAGCTGAATCCAGCTGTTCATGACTACGTGAACGTTATCTATACAGCAAAAACATAACGGCTTTAATAGTGGAACTATCTTATTTTAGTATTTTTGCATAAGTGAACATAACAATTAAGTCCTACAGGCTACACGGTGATTGGTCAAATTTGACGTATTAAGCTGTTATATTCACCTACAGGTGAATATAACAAAACCGAAATTTTCAAAATGGCGGCTAGCCGTTTTGAGAAAGTTACTGACAAAGAAATAAGCGAAATTAAAATAAATTCAGTCGCAAAAAAAAACACAAAAGCTTGTGTAAAAATACTAAAACAATTTATTCGCCTCAGGCTCTGTGATTATCGGGGAATATTCACCTCGACTTCGTCTCGGCGAATATTCCCCGATAATCACCTCGCCTTCGGCGAATAATTGTTAAATATAATAACTTTAAGAATTCTAGCCCGCGTCCAGGCCCAAGGGAACTGATAGTGGGCTTGCAAGCAAGGCCCGGTATTTTGTACTTTCCGCGTTCGCCCACGAACGCGGCATTCTGATTGGCTGTTTGCTGTTGGATTCTATAATTAGGTCAGTGATTCATCACAAAGGCATGGACAAAGGCTCTCGATAAGCTTAAAATTCGAAAATTGATCACTTTTTTCGATTACAAATGAACAAGAACAGACTGTTTATTGTTTACTTGAAGGAAGAGATGTTTTTGCCGTTATGCCAATGGGGATTGCTAGTTGTGAAGTGTTGGAATAGCAACATTACGACTGGGGTAAACTATAGTAACCTTTACTTGAGTTTCATTAATTTCAAACAGACTTGATACGTTATATGTTCCTCAAGAAAATCATCTTTTGGTTGATGTTGAGATGCAGTTGCATGTAAGCCTATTCGAAACACTTTGTTATTTACGAGGTTTCGCTGAGAGAGCGAAACAAAAGACGGTATTAATTTAAATTGCCGTTTGAAACGAAACGATCTGGACGCTCTGAACGCTTTCTTCTTTTGTAGAGTTCTTTACCAAATGAAATAACTGAAATAAATTTCGTACTTTCCGCCGTCAACAAGAATTGCACACACGATCTGATAAGTGAGACAATTTATAACAATGTCAATGGCGACAGCGAAGCACACATAATATAAATGCTAATGTGGTCGCACGACTTCCCTCACGATTTGAAGTTTGAGACTGGTTTTCTGTTGAAATTCGTCCTAATTTGCCTGTTCCGATTTTAGTTGAAAATGAGCACTTGCAAATTTGGCAATTACTGACTACGTTGCTTGCTTTTTACTCGCTGGGCTGGGGCACCTGTGCCCCAGACGAGTATAGGTTTCGGCACGCATTTTTGGTGGATGTCAGATTTCCGATGTCAGATTTCCGATCGTCGTTGATAGCCACAAAATAGAATTTTAATGGCTGCCTAATTTCCCCCCAATTATCCATAAGGCTCCTGCCAATTTTACCCAAATTATCCATACACAGCCTTCCATTTTGAGGAAAATTCGGGAAAATTGAACAATTTTACAAGGAATTTCGCATGGAAACAGCAACCTTCGCAATTCGCAAATCGCAAGTTTATAAAAGTTTATACGTTTGACTGGGCTGCTTTATATTTTGAGAAGAAAGCGACACTGTTCGATTCAGCGTAAGAAATTGTACTTACGGATGTCAAGTGTATTACTAAACACCCGTATTCTAGTGATTTATGGCCTTTGAAAATGAAGCGAAATTGTATTGTTCATGAAAAATCGCTCGCAAGTACGTATTGGGCCATTCCATTTAATAAGCGCACCCCCCCTATTGAGGGTTAAGGTTCCACACCCCCTTGGATATTTTCTACTGTAAGACCCGTCTGGATTTTTCCTTGCCTTGTAATTTTCAACCCCCTTGGATTTCTTAACCATGTTTTGACCTATTGAGGGCTTCTTGTTTTCACCCCCTAGGATATAATAGGTTTTTTGTTTTCACCCCTTAGGATATAATTTATCAAGACGGAAAATGTTTTATATTTCTTAATTATAAAATAGCCTTTTAAAACCACAGGCGTTGATTGGTCAAAAGCTCAAAAAACCCGTGTTTCTATAACTCGATAGAAACACAGGAAATTTTCACGCGGGTTGCGTGGATTGCGCGGGAGTTTGAAAGACAAAATACAAACAATATTTAATTTTGAAAAAAGTTGAAAAACGTCCCGAAACGCCGAAGAACCGTTACAAAAAAAGCAACACTTTGCTAACTTAGAAAGCGAAGACCTAAAGCACAAATTTAAAGTATAATTATAGCACACGTTGTATTTGTTTGACTGTTTACCAAGGTCGAGACCAAGGTAAGATATTTTAATTTTACTTTGTCTTTTTAAAAAAATATTTCCTCGCGACGTTTTTAATCATGTTTACTATAGTTTTTAATCATGTTTAAACGTCCATTAACTATTTAAAACAGTGCTTTCCTTGCATGCAAGCATGTACGTTGTTGAAGTAAGCCTGTTAATGTACGAGTCAAATCCAACCGCGATCAGCCCCCCCCCCCGGGGCAACCCTCGGGGAATTTGACTTTTGAAAAAATAATTGGTCAAATGCCCGCCCGAACAGGCAGAAACCACAGTCAAATGCCCTGCTATAGAGGTAGTCCTGGTTCTGGAATTTTGGCTAAAATTAAATTTAACAAGTATTAGTCAAGATTAAAAAGAAAAAAAATAGGCCAGACAGTTCTTTTTGTTTAAACTATCGAAGACGCAAAATAGAAAACTTGTGAAGCGCTAGAATGTACACATATTTTCAGGGAAAACCGCTGAGCAAGTTGTCAAGTGCCCGACCAGGCCGTCAAATTCCCGCCTATACGGGGGTAATGTTAAGTCAAATGCCCTGGGGTTGCCCGGGGGGGGGGGCTGATCGCGGTTGGAATTGACTCGTACATAAGTGCTGTCTGTTGTTTTGACAGCGATATACTTGTTTACTTCGCTATGCTTTTATAATTATTCTTTACACACGAACGTATATTAAGGTGGAATTAATATTTCAATGAAAGCAATTAAAATCAATAAATTTATCTTTTCTATTGTTTTTAAAAGGCTGTTTAAATGGTTGTTTCTTCAACTAGAATATAGTTTGTACATTTGTATATATTTATATGTACAAACTCCCACGCAATTTCTCGTTTCTCCCAAACTTTCACGCGTGTTTCTATAACTCTATAGAAACACGGAAAATGTTTTCTATTTCTTAAATATAAATATATACAAATGTACAAACTATATTCTAGTTGAATAAACAAACTATAGTCTGTTTTTTGTCAGGCAAATGGAGGAGAGAAATGTGTCTGCCAAAATCCAATTAATTTTCATCAAACATCTGTTAGTATGATCGACATGCGGAGATTCCCGACTTTACAGTGTTTGACTGTATGCTGACTTTGCAGCAAAGTTTATAGTCTAATTATAAAATTAATAAGCTTATTAATAATATACATAAAAAAATTTCTCAATTGTGATTGGCTAAGAGCAGTACAATTTTTAGTTCAGTGCCAAAAAACGAAATACAATGCAAAAAAAAATTCAGTTCAAATTTCTTAATTTTTTATTTTTCAAATTTCTTAATTTTCTTTTAATAATTAAAAATTCTAAATGTGACTTACGCACGTGACTGCGTAATTTTTTGATGTATATTATTAATAAGTAATAGTATATGGTTTATCGTGCTATTTGAAAAAAACACACTCGTCTTTCGGACTCGTGCAATTTTGATGGTCTTTGAAAAACTCACTCGTTCATGCCAAATTGCACTCGAAACCATACTATTTTACCTATACAAATATTTGTGAATAAATATTAATTAGTCTCTTTCGGAATGCTAACATCATGCGAAATCGAACACATTGCTAAACGGCTTCACTTAACTCCACCGGAAATAGAAGTGCTTCCTGAAGGCAGCAATAACACTGTAGTAACATTCCTATAATACTGACTTGACCATCTGTAAACATCCATATGCCAAACAAGAAGTAACTTCGTATGAGTAGGTTGCATCTGGTTCCGCTTGAAATACTACCTTGATTTCATCATTGTCAGGGTCAGATTGTTGTACCTCCCCAACATACGATCCTAATCTCCACCCCGAGTCTCCGATTTCCTCTTTACTCCACCTGACTTTAACTTTGCAACCAACCTCGTAGAATTCCTCTATCTCAGATCCTTCATGTAGCATGACTTTTTTATCGCTTAATAATTGTGTGACATTTGTTTCATATAAGCATTCCGGTTCAACAACGTAAGATATATTAATCAACGCTTCTTCCTTGTCGATAACGTCTTTCACCACTGCAAGATACCACCCTTCGTGCCACCCTGTTTCTTCACAATCTTCCTCACTCCAGAAAACTTTTACAATTGCTCCACATGTTAATATTGTTGAAACTACATCCTTCTCAGGTAGAGAACTTTCTAATGTCGTCATCGCTTCATCAGATCTTGTTGCTAAGGCATTTTTGATCATAATGTTATTGGCAAACTCGTCAAATATTTCTTCAATGTTAATTAATGTGATCTCTTCAGGGACCTCAATATGTGAAGTTGATGAATGAAGAGACTGGACCGAAGCGTTTTGGCGAGGACGTTTTGATGAAAGATGTTGAAAGGTCGTTGTTAAGAAAGTCCTGTATCTATAAGTTGGTGTTGTTTCTAGTAGCAGTCGTTGCTTTTTTTCTTCGATGATGAGACTTTTGGACATAGAAACAAGGTCAAGAAGCATTTTTCGCTCTCTCATGAAACAAAGATGCCTTCTATTGTTTGCAATCAAAGAAACGTTCAGGATAATGCTGTCTTTCGTGCCCATTGAAGGCAACCCATACCAGCGTAAAATAGACTTTAAATAGCTCAGCTGTAGCTTCCCCAGCTTTTTAATTGTTTTTGGGATTGCTTGGCCGGTGTACAACTCGACTTGTTTTGGTGGTTTTTCGCCTTGCTTGGCGGAAATGCGTTCAACAAGCTCGTGTTTTTTCCCTGAAACATCCAACTTCCGTTCCTGACAGATTTTTATAAGCTCTTTGTTTTTTTTTTGCATGGAGTACATGAGACCTCCACTGGTCTTTCTTTAAGTTGTCTTCCATGTCTTGTTTTGTCTCTTTCTTTTTCTCGTCATAATACTTCAATACCTCTTCTTCTGTCGTCCATGACAACAATCCCAAAGACTTTATAACAGTTGGAGGCAGTTCAGGCAAAACAAGATAAGCCATGTCTAAAATGTGAGTGGGTAAAAAACAGCCCTCGATCGAATCCCATATTCCCTCATCAAGACTAGCTCTCATCTCGTATGGGAGATAATGCAATTCTTCAGTTCCCAACCACCTCAGATAGTCCGGCAAAGGTTGACGATGGAATCTTTCTTTGTTTGAGGATTGCCACTTCCCATTTCCTCGATATATAATTGTAGTATACTTATCACACCAGGACGTTTTTAAAACGTTTTCATCATTCTTTATTTGACTATAATCTTCAGAAAGGCAACCTTTAAAATCCTTGTCAATATTCCAAATATTATGCAAAGATTGTAGAAGAGAGTTATCATTTGCCAAATATATAAATTCTGATAGTTTTTTATTCGATTCAGATAAATGTAAGAACGTCCGCATATTATCCTCGTCATTGAAAACCCACTGCCCTTCTTGAAATCCTCTGAGCACT